AAACTATGTCCTGGGACTAGACGTAAGGGAAAAAAGTATTTGGGGGTTGGAGGAGACATAACCAAAAGATGAATTTGCATGGACTCGTGTAGAGCCTTGCAGGCAAAGAAAACAAGCTGAGTGCCATAGCAGAGAGAGAAAACATATTCTGCAGTGGTATTTTGAAGGAATATGAATCAAAGAGGCAAGAAAGAGGAGTTAGCAGTAAAAAGGACAAGTACTTCAGCTGCTGCAAGAAAAGCAAAGGGCTACTCACATTCGTATGCTCTACTTGTGTAAAGGGAGAGTAGTATTGGCTCTCTGTTTTACAAAACCCTGCTTTCAGAAATAAGTTTGTCAGCCAAAGTAAAGAGAAAAAAAGATCAATGGATTGCAATAAACGGCATTTAACATAAAAATGAGTAAAATTTACAATTCAGTTAACTTGTTAAATGTTAAAAAATCAGCAAACAATAGACACAATTTGTTTTGTTCAGAGCCCAGAGGTAGAGACCAAATCCTCTAAATTAATTTCTGCAAAAGCTGGGGTTTTTTTCCAAACAGGTCTGGATCCTATTCGTTGTAGAATATACTGATTACCAACTATTTTTAAGAGCTTTACACAAACATTATTTCTTTTGTTGTGTGAAATGCAGAATCAGCCATCTGGCAAATGCCCCAGAGCTAAAATCTTTTACATGACATATAATTCAAAATGATTAAATATACAACAGAAAATAGCTATAGCATTGCACTTAAAATAGCATGAACTTTTACTGCCGATCAAAACTGATTTCTTTAGCTTAACAAGTATCCAAAGAACAATTATTTGAAGAGCTTTTAAGAGTTTCAATATGTAGGAACTAAACCTCATCTAAATTCAGTATCTTAAGTCAAATAAAAAAGAAACAAATGTACAAAAGATTAAATGGTCCTGCCTTATAAGTAGACATTTAAATCTATGGGAAGCTAAATTCATTTGAACAAAAATACTATATTCCTTCTGTATGTGTATTGCTGGGGCTTTCCTCTCCATTGCAAAGGGCATCTGCCAAAACAACTCTTACATTCTTAGGCAATGACTAGGGACAAGCCTGGAATCAGACTGTTCATCCACTCCCTCCATCATCAGAATGGGCAATTTCAAAGAAGAACGGGGAATAAAGCCCTGTGCATGATCCCTAAATGCAGTCAATCTTTTTTTTCTGCACCACAGTCGACTTTAAGTTAAACTTGCTGTCTTTTTTCCAGAAATACTCCAGGCCTGAAAAATTGCCAGGTCCTCATCCCACACCCAATTCTCCAGTAGTTTATGAGAAAGAGCACGCAAACATCTGCATGTGTTTGGGGTACATGAGGGTAGGTACAGAAATATTACCCTGCGTAATTATTGAGTGGTTATGGCTCTGTTTCTCAACTACATTTTTCAGACAAGTCAAAGTCTACATTTCCCAAAAAGCAGTTGGTGCAAGTCAGATCTGAGTCGTAAGATGAAAAAGTCTAAATGTAGGAGATTTATTTCATGGATTTGCGTACTTGGATAAACCTGAAATGGATGAATACATCGCTGCCGACCTTCCAAAAACTTTTGCTTCTAAATTCCTTCAGACCAAGCATGAGAACCTTCATCCCAAGGTAACAACGTGAGCAAACTGTAAGTCTGTGATTACTAAGGCTTAGAATTAAAATGGCTCTGCACCTTTGCCTGTGGAGTTGGGTCAGTCTCACAACCAAGGAACCTCCGATGTTCTAAACCCAGACTTTTCTAAACTGTAAAAAAAATAATGTTCTTGAGTCTTGACCTTTTCAGCTCATAATGATTTCTGAAGCAGCAGGATTTTTTCCTGCTGCTTTTTACATGACTTTCAGGCTTGTAGAAATCCTAAACTGATTGCTGGCTGGCTTGGGATTGCAGCAGCATCAAAACCTCTCCTCTTAATAAGACACTTGTCCTGGTTTTCCAGGCCTAATCCTGCTTTTAATAATATGCATATTAATTCAGTTATCTGACTGAGCTTTTAGTGTAAAGGCAGGCTTTATGTCTTCCTGCTCTTGATGTTAAATGAAGAGATGCACATATTTCAGGTAATATTAACTGCAGTATAGAGAACTACCCTATACACCATACACATACTAATTAAACCTGAAGATGGATTATGAAAGTAGTAGCACAACTATTCTCATATTACAAAGAGCAAGAACATGTTTTATATTATTTAACCCATCCTTGGGAGAACCACAGGAGAAACAGAGCAATTTTCATCAGAAGTATCTTTGCCTTTCATCAAAAGAGAGGTGACCCAAGCAATCTCCTATAATCTTTTCCATCTCAGTAGAAAAAAAAAAAATCTATCTTTGATGGCATTTTCTCTTTGAAAGCTAGGGGCTTCTCTGATATTCGGGAGTCCTAAAACCTGAATGTCTCTGCTCTTCTTGTACCTCTTTTCTTTGCATTAAACAGAACATCATATATTTTCTACTTTTCACTGAAAAACTGGGAAATCTTCCCATCGTTCTATTGACCAGGCTTTTTTTACAAAGGTGCCAGGAGTCCTATTTCTCAGAAGAAAAAAATAAAAAAGTAATAACTCCTAGTGAAACAGGAGCCTAGTCCCAGTATCTATTCAAAATAAACAATGTATCTTCTTACAAATAAGCATTTCCATTCTTATTTATGTGTCCAATTTTGTGTACTTTGCAATACTGGGGGAAAAAAAAAAAAAGAAGACTGAAGAACACATGGAGAATCAAGAGAAATTTGAGCACCCCTGAGGAAAAAGAGGTTTAGGGACGGAGTAATAGCTGCAAGAGTGTAATGAGAATTTGGAAAACTTTGCTAGATAAAAACGTATAACAAAACTGTTGCTGTCATTTCGTTCCCTGGGCCTGATTATGTTTTCATGATGGGCCTTTGCACTGCTTCAACAGTAAGAGCTCTTTAAGTAAATGAGTATCAGACCTCCATGCTCGTGAAAGGCAAGGCTTGCCAAATCTAACAGGAGTCTCTATGGCACTCTAGACACCCTCAGCTCGACAGAGAAGTGGTGGGAGCAAACTCAGTAGTTCCAAATGGTGCCTATTTTCTTCTCTTTAGGAATGGTACCTGGGTGCTGCCAGTTGTGCTGGCGAGTCGGTGCCAAGGCTGTATGTTTCCTTGCCCCCTTTCACAAACAGCCGAGAAACAATCAGCAATTGCTTCATAATAGGGCCAGGGTGAAAGGTGAGAACTGGAGTATTCTGCAAGCCTGCTGCCAGACCTGAGGAAGATAGTGTCATTTTGGTAAACCTGTCAAGCTGTTGTAAGAACTTCCTGAATGCTTCCTACCATCTGCTTTTGATGCTTTCAAGACTTGGCTGGAAGCCTGGAGGTTTTCCTGCTTCTTCCTGCCCAACCTATAATGGAGTAATTCTGGATCTGTTCCCTGTCATCCCAGCCTCTTCCTCAGTTTCTTCTGCTTACAGCTGGGGTTTTTTTAATTATTTTTTTTTTCTTTACTGCAGTGGCCTTGTGCCCTGAATCATCTCTCCTGGGGCGGGAAGAGTTCCTCTGATGTTGAACAAGTGCCGGGTTTTTCAATTGTCTTCATGTTCTTGAGAGGAAGGGTCTGGCCTACATGACACATTCCTTCTTCACACTCACATCAACAAGTTTAACTTTGTGTACAGGGCTCTCAATGGAACAGCCACACAAAGCACATCTCCAACCGCTCCGTCAGACTGCACGCTGCGCTGGTCCGGGTAGCCAATATTGATTGATATAATTTGTAGGGTTTGAGATAAATGTCATAAAGGACAATGAGTTCAAAGAACAGATTAAAAAACAATAAATTGAATTCCAAGGCGTTCCCTCCTGTACTAATCTGTGTAGGTTCCTGTGTTTTTGGAAAGCATGTTGCTTATCTTCCTCATCAGTAGGCCCACTGCATTCCAGTATTTTGGATCAATGCCATTTGTAATAATCTAGATCAGTTTTTATTCAACGTTTATAAAACAGGCCATGTATCATAGGGTATATTTTATAGCAGATGGTATCTCCAATTCATTTAACCCCCCCTTCACTTCCCTCCTCCAATATCACAGTGCATACTTATAAAAGCTCTTTTAAGTAGAGCTGAGCAGAATTTTTTCAACAAATAGTAAATTTGCTGAAAAATGGAGTTTCCAAGCAACAAAACTGTTAAACTGTGGCACACTGAAAAGGAAATGTTCTGTCTTCTAGAAACACCAGGTCTTGCAATTTTGACATTTGGGGGGAAAAAAAAAAAAAGTGGGGTGGATAGGTAGTTGCTTTCAGAAATCATTTTCATTTTAAAAAATTCCAAGCAAAAAAAGGTGATAAACACAAAAGTTAAATAGAACACAGAGCATTTGTTTCATGTCAGATGACATTTTTTGTGTTATTCCATTGTCAACTGTTTGGGGATCTTCTGTGTGTTTTCAATTTGAAAAGTTTCTCTTTTGGCTTGATGAGAACTAATTTTCTCCAAGGTTTATTAATTTAGGGAGACCCAGCATTTGCCAGGCTCTAGTCAAAACACAACCCTACAAGGTGACAAGGAAGTTTCCTGTTCAGCAAGGCATGTAAACACAGCCCTAAGACTTACTTCAATAAAATGGACTATTTTAACATGTAGAGATAAGCACATGCTTAAGCACTTTGCCGGTTCAAAACAGAGAATTTATTAGCTTTCAGGATCAGTGATGTACACCTTACAGCCACTCCCTTGCTTGAGATCATAATGGAAGAGACTGAAGATTTTCCTGAGATGAACATACCAAACGGTAATACAATAATCATGTCTGCTTGGGAATACTTCATCGTAATTTTGCAAAATATGATTTATACAACTCTGGGGACGCAAACATCACTGATAAAAATAAATAAGTAAAAAAATATTTTAGCTCTGTGATAACAGAATCAAATCACGGAATTTTTTTATGTTTTAGCTTTAATCACGCCTCCTAGAAGATATGAGAAATAAACTCATTTTAATTTACCTTGCAGAAGTAGTTAATCATACCTGCGTTTCTCAGAAACCTGTGTTTGTAGTCAACGATAACTCTGGTTTCAGGATTATAGAATCCATCGCCACAGTCATAACATCCTATTGGGATTTCTCTGGGAGGATCCAGATTTGTAAGCTGAGAAATGCCTGAAGAAAAAAAAAACCACAAAGGATTTGCTCTATTTTGCTTTTTTTTTCCATTTGTGTCTTTGATCAAGACAACTAACAAATATTACATCTCCATGGCATTCGCTATAAAAACAATGCCGTTACCTTACAATAAATCTTATAAAACATTTTGCCAATTTTGCAGATGGAGAAAAATGAAAATGGAAAAATCCATACACTAAAAGCGTGTGATAAAAAGACATCACTTTGATTTCCTCATTTGCGGTCCCGTGATTCAACCCACTAAGCTAACATTATAAATATGACCCCAAACTCCAAAAATGGGGCCAGGAGAGTCTTGCTGGCCTCACAGAACAACTACATGTCATCGCTAAAATATTCTTTGTAGAAAGAAGAGTATTTTATGTATTACGTTACAGCTTTTACTCACTTGGTCCTTATAAATCTTTTCACCTTTTGACTACAGACAAATAATGATATTATAAAAGCCTTCAGTAGAAATATAGGCCGGACACAAGTGTTTATTTTGGTATGTACTAAAAAGCTATGTGGGATAGCTGCATTCAAACTTTATTTGATGTTCTGGATGTAAATTAATTGCTTTTGCTCAACATTTCTGTATTAAAAGCATGCCGAAGGTGAAATGTACAGAAGGGTTAATGGGGATATGGGGAGCTGTAGATAACAGAGCCCCGTCCTGCGGGGTCATCGCTCCGGGAGAGACGGTGCCGTGGGTTGTGCTGGTGGAAGGGGGTGTCAGCGTTCTTCTGGCAGCGTCCAACATCGGGCCCTGAAATTAGCCAGAGCGTTTCTGCTCCATGTTACTCATGTAGCCGAATTAATCTTTCTTAAGCAAAGTTGTTAGTTTAATTCCTTCCAGACTCTCAGGATCGCAAAACGCAATTCAGTACCTGCTGGTTTAAGACCAGAGCAGATTTCTGTATAAAATCTTCTGTCGTAGCCGTCACAGTAATGCCATTTTTTATCTTTGTATTCGAGACCATCTGCGAAAGTGTATTTCCCCTGCAAAACATGTTCAAGCAGCGAGTTAATAAACATGATGGATGGACGGAGCGCGGAGGAGGCCAGCGTTCCCCCTGCCAAAACCGCGCGTTCGCTGAGCAGAGCCAGCGCGGGGGGCGGCTGGGGCTCGGGTACCGCCGGGAACCGCACCTGCGGGACACCCCCCGGCCTCCAGCTGAGGGGGCACACCGTTGGTTTGGCTCGCAAATCTGCGTATTTCACCCCAAAACTCTCCCGGCAGCGTGGCCACCAGGGAGGCCCCTCGGGGTGAGGACCCCCGCACCCGGGATACCTGCGTGGGCACCCCGCGCTGCCAGACCGCCCGGTATCTGCCGCCGTTGGGGAACAGCAGCTCTCCCTCGCCGTCGAACATCCCGTCCTTCAGCTCTCCCCGGTACTCGGTGCCCGTCGGCAGCGTGTAGAAACCCAGTCCCTCCATCCTGGAAGAGACAGGGCGGTCGGGGAGGGAGGGAAAGGAGAGAGGGAGGAGGAGCGGGCAGCCCCGCGCCCCGCCGGGCCCACCTGCTCCTCACGGTGTCCCCGTAGTAACGCCCGCCCGTCACCTCCATGGCGGCCCAGGCCCGGCCCGGCGCGGCCGCGTCTCCATGGCAACGCCGCGGCGGGGGAGGGAAAGGGAAGCTCCGCCTCCCCCCTCCCAGCGCCCGCCGCGCACGCGCACTCCCCGCCCCCCGGCCGGCGGCGCGTGCGCGGTGGCGGCGGGCGCTGAGGGGAGCTCAAGGAGAGCGGCGGCGCCGCCATGCCCGGCTCCCTGCAGGTGCCCTCCCTGGAGGAGCTCGACGTGCAGGAGGTGAGTGAGCGACCGCCGCCGCCGGGCCCTTCCCCCGCCGGGCCGGCGCCGATTCAGGCCGCGCCCCCCATTGCCGCTCTGCCCCGCTGCAGGTGACGGTCAGCTCGGCCGTGCTGAAGGCCGCGGCCCACCACTATGGCTCGCAGTGCGACCGGCCCAACAAGGAGTTCATGCTGTGCCGCTGGGAGGAGAAGGACCCGCGCAAGTGCCTACGGGAGGGTCGCCAGGTCAACCAGTGCGCCCTCGAGTTCTTCAGGTGAGCGGGACCCCCACGGCCCAGCCAGGCCCCCCCCCCCCCCCGCCGCCGCC